GCCAAATGGGAAGAGTTGGACAGTGACAGAGACAGCGGCTCGGAGGGAGAAGTTAAGACTCTGGAAGATGTTGGAGCGGGAAAAGGCTCATCATACAATCTGAGAGATGTGAAAGGGAGGCAGCCCAAACAATGAAGAATGGTTCGGAATGCGCAAGAAAAGACTTTACTAACAATAAGCCAAAAGGACACTACTAATACATGAACAGTATTGTTTTTACAGGTTAAGATGAAAGACGATTGACAACTCACAGAAGAAGCCAAAAGAAGATCTGTTTAATACTAACAAAAGAGTAACATACTAATGAAAGCATCACCCAATCTTTTCTTAATCCCACTATATACCCTCCTCCTTTCTGATATTAAAAGCATAAATTCTCTCCTTTTTAGGAGCATCAATAAAAAAAAAGATTGCAACAGTACAGACGTTTTGATGCAATAATTCAGAGCAAGAGGTGTCAGTTATCAGACACTGTTAAATAAACAAAACATTGCATAAGTGCTAATGTTTTAAGCATGATTTTATTTTAAGTTAAAAAAACCTTTATGTTTGTGTCCTTTATAAAGTTTATATCTCCGCTACCTGGCATTACATTTTATGACACACATGGCCTCGCCCAACAAGGTCTAATTTATGTCAGATCCAGCCCTCATAACAAATGAGTTCGACACCCCTGATCTATACCGTTTACTACAAGAACGTCTAGTAAACTGACCAACACGCAAACAATATTTGATCAATTTATCATCAACCAAGCCGAATGCCATCATTTCTGAATATGCTGGCCTATCTGTTTTTACTGCTTGCCTGGCACACCAAACCTAAGTCAAATCAATTTCCTTGTGTCCAGTTTAATTTATGAGGTCAGTGTTAGTAGCACAAAGTATATGGAACTTTTACTATATCCAGTACAATTCCACTATTAGTGAACAGTGATGATTCTCAGATTTACTGAACTTCATGTACACAAGGCATATTAGCATGCTGCTACTGGCATTATCAGTACAAATACGAAAGCCCTGATTGAGTAGGTGATTCTGGTATAAAGCAGGTGACTTACTTAAATTGTTCCAGACATTGCCTTTCTTCCACTATATTCCTATTAAGCTTGAAATAATGCTTTTGTGTTATACTATATGCATTTTGACCACATATCTCTCCCTTATATATAAAGCCGTAGTGGGGCCCAACGTTCCAATTCACACCAACAGTGTTTGGAGGCTTGAACTGTCAGTCAGAAGACGCTGGCTGGGTTGCCTGGCTGCTTTGTGTAGTCCCGCCCACGTCAGCCCTGGCCAGAGTGTTCAGGTCAGTCTGCTCAGGGCCTCTGACAGGAGAGGACCATCTGCAGACTGAGTGCAGGGACGGGGCTTCTATGGCTGGGCCGCTTCAGCCCACTCTTCTCTGATTGGGCCAGCGTTTCAAGGTCATTTGCATATGGAAGCTGATTGGACTTCATTCCATTCCACACAAACTCCCTCCCCCCCTCCGCAAGACAGTTGGCATTGT